TGATTTTTTTAATTCTCATTTTTAAAATCTTATTTTTCTAAGTATTATTCTTTCATTATATTTTAATTGTTACTTTTTCAAATTTTACCATCAATCGTTTTTTTTTTAAGTTATTGAATTCTGGTGTCTCACTTAATTTCAGTTTTCTGAAATCTCTACACTTATTTTTTACTTTTAAATTTCATTTTCTAATTGTCAATATTCTCATTTCTCAATTCCTTTTTTTTCTCAATTTTTCGTACACTTTTATTTTTTATTCTGCTTTTTCAAATTTCCCTAATCTCAGTCTTTAATTTTTAAGTCCATTTTTCGTGTCCTTCTTATTTTCTTACCTCAATTATTCCCATTTTTCGAACTCTCTGTAGGTAATAGTCGATATTCATTGTTTTTTAACTTTCATTTCTTATTTTCTTAGTCCTCGTTTCTCAATTTTTATTCTCAATTCTCATCTCCAGGTGTGGTTCGACCGCGCCGACACCGTAACCGCCGTCTTCAAAACCAGCTTCCAGATGGACTTCCCCTTCGACCCTCAGGAACTCTTCGTCTTCGCCATCATCGGTGCTTTCTGCGGCCTCGGCGGCGCCTTCTACGTCTGGATGCATCGCCAATACGTCATGTTTATGCGTAACAGCAAAACCATTAACAGTTTCTTACAGAAGAAGTAAGTATCGATTGGATTCCTCCACCACCAAATGCCAAACCATGAAAATAGTCTTGAATTTTTTACAGCCGATTTCTCTATCCCGCCATTGTGAGTCTTCTAGTCGCCACAGTGTCTTTTCCACTAGGAAGTGGACAATATTTCGCAGGCGACTTGACCACACATGAACAAGTCATGGACCTCTTCAGCAATTTCACCTGGACCACAGAAAACCTATCAGCGGATCAACATAATGTCTTGAAGCATTGGCAAACACCCTACTCGGGGGTGTTCGTCAGCCTGATCTCGTATGTGGCGTTCACGGTGAGGATCTGCTGATATTGATATTGGTGGTGATATTGATATTTGCATTGATATTGGTGGTGATATTGATATTGATATTGATATTGGTGGTGATATTGATATTGGTATTGATATTGGTGATGATATTGATATTGGTATTGCTATTGGTGGTGATATTGATATTTTTTTCAGTTTATCTTTAGCATCATCTGCTCGACCATTCCAGTCCCCAGTGGGAGCTTCACCCCCGTTTTCAAGATTGGGGCTGGTTTCGGGCGCCTTGTGGGCGAGCTGATGCACGTGTGGTTCCCCAGTGGTATGCGATATGGGGGGCAAGTCGCCACTATCATTCCTGGAGGCTATGCCACCGTGGGGGCGGCGGCTTTCAGCGGTGCCGTCACTCACACCATCTCCGTATCAGTGATAGTTTTTGAAATGACGGGTCAAATATCACACATCATACCAATTATGATAGCTGTTTTAATATCAAATGCTATTGCTAGTTTACTAGCTCCCAGTATCTACGATTCTATAATTTTGATAAAAAAATTGCCATATTTGCCCGATCTTTTGCCCAGCAGTAGTGGTATGTATCATGTGTATGTTGAAGATTTTATGGTTCGTGATGTGAAATATATCTTCAACAATATGACTTATGAGCAATTGAAGAGTTTGTTGAAGGAGAATCGTAAATTGCAAAGCTTCCCATTGGTTGATAATCATGATAATATGATACTTCTTGGTTCAATTCAACGCTTGCAGTTGATTCAGTTGATTGAACGTCATATAGGGAGAGAGAGGAGATTACAAGTCGCTGCGATTAGACAGAGAGAGGCTGAGGAGCGTGCGAGAGAAGAGGCGGAGCGTAAGGCGGAGGAACGCAAACGACGCCCCTCCCGTTTCCAAGTAGTCCCCGCCCCTGACGTTCTTGGCCTTAAACAAATGTCGGAAAATCAACTCAATGTTGATAAACCCACTTTTCATCCGGTTTTTGGATCGCAACCGAAAAAATCAATCCTGAAAAAAACCAATTCGTTTACGTTGAAAGGTTTCAGTCCGTTTATGTCGACAAGTCCAGGTTCGACACCTTATACGACTGTTACGGGGGCTGAAAGTCGTATCCGACTTGCGTTCGAAGCGATTTTTCGAAAGTCGGCTCAACTTCAAGATGTTGATAATAATGATAGTTCGCCGGTGTTGAATAGTGCAGGAGGATCGATGGATAATAAAGTGCAGATTATACCAATGAGTCCGTCAACATCGAAAAAAGTGCAATTGGTGAGTTGATGTTGATTTGATGTTGTGATGTTGTGGTATTTTAATGCGGCAGAAGTTTTGGAAGAGGAAGAAGAGGGTTGAGGTATGGGTGCACTATGCATGTTGAGCACCTGATTCCTGATTTGCCACTTTTAGACTTGGATGTTGATATTGATTTAGTTACTGATTTAAATACAAATTTAGTCAAAATTAATGTTGATACTGACAGATACTGATATTTAATCCCAGCTAATATTGATATTTTAATTTTGATATGCTTATTTATGATGTTGATATTGATTTTAATATTTTGATATTGATATACGTGAATTATATTCATATTTTCTTTTTCGATGATATTGATTGCTGATGTTGATTTGCGTGGTATTGAAGCATCTGCTTTTATTGATTTAATAAATATATTTACTTTAACACTCTCAATGTTTTTATTGATAATGATTTTGATGTGTTTTTATCCGACTTTGATGTTGATTTCGATACGTTGCAGCTTAATAAGCACGTTTTTAACAATAATTGGGGTTGATATTAGTACGATGTTGATATTGATGTTGATTTAGTTTCTGATTTAAATACAAATTTAGTTGATACAGACAGATATTGATATTTAATTCAAGCTAATATTGATATTTTAATTTCGATATGATTATTTATGATGTTGATATTGATTTTAAAATGGGATTGTTATTGATATTGATTTTAATATTTTTTTTACAAATGTTGATATTGATTTTTATGAAATATTGACTTCAACACTATAAAATAAAAATGATATTGATATAAAAAAATGATATTTAGTGGTGTTTTAACTAATTAGTTTTAACTAATCTCATGGTTGATATTGATACCTAATGATTCTGACGTGTTTTTATCCGATTTTGATGTTGATTTTGATACATTACAGCTTAATAAGCACATATTAATTAATTGGGTAGTACAATGTTGATATTGATATTGACACTGTTTAGTAATAGTAATAAAGTTTAGTAATAGTAATAAAAATTGATACTGATGTTGATTTAGTTACTGATTTAAATAAAATTTAGTCAAAATTG